CTTCGTGAAAGTGGAAGCAAGACTTCTAACTTTGGTCCAGAATTAAAATGAGTAAAAAGAAATTTCTTGTTTCTTCTTCTACATAATTCACATCGACTTATTTTGTAGGTTAACGTTACCGAACTGAAATTACGTCAGAAATTTGTTTCCAACGTTACTTTCCTCCTAAACTGAACCAACACTTCCAACACCAGTTTTCCCCAAATGAATTCCGAATACATATAAGACGTGCAGTGGGTAAAACAACATTTTTAATATTGGACCAAGTGACTTGAGTTTTTCCGTGAAGTTAGAAAGATTAGTTTACTAAATGAAGCGTAAAAAAAGATTTACAAAATTTTCGAATCAACTTCTAGAAATCCATAGGACCCTGTTCACGAGGTAACAAGATTAACGATCGAGACACGGTCGCCTCCAGCTTCCTGGGGCTCGCAGAGATTGCCAAGCGGCGTGACCAATTTCCGGCAATTTCCATCAGAGGGTGGGGGAGCCGTGTGTCGCGATCGAACGAAGGTGTAGAACACGTTCGCGCGAATATCGCCTCGGGAGGGGTTACAGGTAATGCCGTGCGGTGCTCTCGACAGGAGGCCCTGACCCGATTGCAGAAAATGTCAACACTCTCGTTACGTGGCCGTACTATCGCCACGGCTCGAAGCGAACGTTTGCTTGCTTGCTTGCTCGCGAGCCTAGCCTACCTAGCGCGATCGAGCTAGTGATGGGCGGTACATGTCAATTACACCGATATTTCCTATCGATACATATCGAAGGTCAAAATATCAATACGGCAAAAATATCAAAGAGAAGTATAGATTATCGATACTTTTAACTCATTATCTGTAATGTGTACTAAAAAAAAAAAAAAAAGAAAAAGGCTTAAATAAATGGCTATAAAATGGTGTCGAATGTCGATGGCATCAGTGTAACGTCAATTGATATTTGTCATTATACCCGATGTATAATTATCACAACTTGAGAAAATGTAGTACACTCAAATGAGTGAGAACAGTTTTGTACAGTTGTTTCGAAATTCTGATATTCATGGGTCAAGTATCGATACAACGACACATCGTCATGTTAAGAATCGATACAAAATATCGATATTTGCAATCAAAAGTATCGATATTTCGATATATCGATGCTGTATCTACTAGATCGAGCACACGCATGGAAACGTATGTATATAGTATACATATACATACGTGTACACTGTACACATATATACGTGTTAAACACACGGGAGGCGTGCCACCTTACGTGGGTGTATAGGCACGTGTGTACATTAGCTACACGTATAATACGCAGAGGGGGGGGGGCTGGAAGGGGGACGCTTTGGTGTCTTTAAAGTGGCCATCTTGACTTTACTTTCAAACGCGCTGCTATCGGACTGGAAAGACGGAGCGAGAGGGAAATGGTAGAAGGTGGAACGGAGATGGAAAAACACGGTGTGTACGCGCATGTATTGTGGGCAAACGTGTGGCAATACGAGGAAGCCGATTACCCAACGATCCCAGGATCCCTCGAAACACGGCCACCTACTTGGTTTACACGCGATTCCGCGTGATTCGACCACGGTTCGAGCGTGTCGAGTTTTGCTCGGTTCGAGGAGACCTCGATCGATTCTCTCCACGGCTGGATTAACAATTAAGGAAAATAAAACACCTTGCTTAGGGCATCAAGGGAAGGGGGGCACACCACTGACATTTTTTCGATTGCTAGATTCACCGTGGACCAATTTCAACGTATCTTTTTAAAAATATGTAAGATGAATATAAACGCTTGATATAACCATATCGAGCATTTCTTCTTCCGATTTATTGATGTTAATCTTTTCATTCCTAAGTTATGTAAAAATTACCAAAGAAATATTTTGTTGTATTTTTGTGTATCGAACATGACATATAAATTATTCACACGAACATTTGAAGTCTAATAATTATCGAAAGACTGCGTGTCGATTATGAGGCTGGTATCCCGTGGCGAAAGGGTTAAATGGAGCTTGTACGGATAACCAGAAAGCGATGCGCACAGTCACGACGCGTGAGGTACGTTCTCCCTTTCGTCGAGCCGATCGAGATCAACTCACGGTCCAATTACTGCATGGGTGAATCCTTCGATATCAACGCGAGAAAGGTATCCAATACATTTTATAGGGACAAACCGATCCCAGTCAAATTGGCTCAACTGTTGACACGTCGTATGGACTCCTGAACAAGAATTTCTACATGCAAGACCGCTAAGTCTTCCAGCTTTGGTGTTAGAGCACTTCGAACCCAGTGCAATAGGGTCATTCTGGATATCGTTTTCAATGCACCTGTTTTTCCTCGGTCGAGAAGTAGAAACTTATAGACGAGAACGAGGAACAGAAGGGAGAAAGCGAAACGGCGAGAGACAGAGAGAGACAGTGAGAAAGGGGAAAG